TATGGGGGTGTCAAAGAACACCTGATAAGCGATGTCTCCACCCAGCCAGACACAGTAATAGATGGCCAGTTAGGCTCTTGACTTCCTCCGTGATGTCTTCTAACATTCTCCCCATTTCACTGTGCCCTTTCCAGATTGGCAACGTGGTCCTCATCATCTTCGTCAGCTACTTCGGCAGCCGGGTCCACCGCCCGCGGGTGATCGGGCTGGGGGGGCTGCTGCTGGCTCTGGGAGCCTTCCTGGTCACCCTGCCACACTTCCTATCAGACCCCTACGAATACACCACACTTAGCGCTGGTAAGTGCCCCATCTTTATCAGCAGTCTCAGCGCAAGGCCACCTCCAGTTGCTCTGGACTGGGTTACCTGTGCCTACCCAAAAAGCGGGGTTGTATCCATAGAACAGTTTTAGAATGGTTTTGGTTGGAAAAGATCTTTAAGATCATCGAGTCCAACCATCCAGCACATGCACAATTCAAACGCAGTGTTTGGAGAGAAAGACTTAAGGCAGAGATTTTCTGCTTTAAGCCTGACTTAAGTGCAGTTTTGCAACCCCTTCTGAACGCAATAATTACCAGTGGCAACCCTTCCACCTCTTTGGCATGTGTCATCAACACCACAGTTTCAAGTGCTGCGGTCATGGTGAGGTACCTAAATTCCCAGTAGATGCTCTTGAAGTCCTCCAGAAGGAGCAGTCCATGTTCCAAGCTCAGCAGCCAGGATCTCCTCTCCAGGCTGCCAGGATGCCTCTCCATCCCATCAGTGCCCAAGGAGCTTGCTGCAGGGCTGAGACCCCCGAGATGGTAGCCATCATCCTGCACGGACGTGCCACTCCAGAAATATTTCTAAGGAAGTTTCATATCCAATCAGAGTGCATAACCTTCCACGTGGATACTGTAATATAGACTTGAAAACTAATTGTTTAACTAGCTTAATGTGTTATTTTTAATGTGCTTTTCTCCTGGCTGTGCCCATCCATCTGTCTTCATGTCTTCTACGCTGTGTCCCTGCTTTCTGCACAGGTGATGTGTGTCCTGCCAACCTGAGTGTCCTGGAAATAGGGCTGCTTTCTGCAGCATCAGAAGAGCCACAGCTGTGGCTCTAAAGCTGCATTATGGGCTAGTGATGACAGCATCGTTGTTAACGATGATATGTCATTTGTCTACCCAAAAAGCCAGACAGGGAGAAAGTGTTAAACCAATTGCAAGCAGAGAGCGTTGCTGACGGGGCAGCAGTTTTGGGGCAGAAGCCCTGGGATGCAAGAGATGCTGGTTCTGCTGGTGATGCCCTACGTGATAACTTCACTTTTAGCTAATTTGAGGCACTGCTGCATTTCCTGGGGGGGGGGTGAAATGCTCTCCAGTACCTTGCCACTGAGGCTTCGTGCTTTTCTGAAGAGTGAGCTGGGTTCACACCAGAACAGTTCTTGCTATATCCATCCCATTTTGGGTGGCTTTTATCTACTCCAGAAGCGATCAGCTGTGGCTCTGTAGGTCAGCGCACAAGCTCTGAGGACAAAGCAGTTCAGCTGGCTGATGAGAAGGCTTGAAAGTGCCATCTTCATGTCTGTGTTTGTCTCATTGCAACAGCCAGGCTTGGACCTTCTTCTCATTTCTCCTGGTTTTTGTATGTGACAAAAGACTGGATGATTTTTAAGGTCCCTTCCACCCCAAACCATCCTGTGATTCTATGAGAAGTGCTCCCTGCTGGTGAGCACTGTGTGGGTGACAGAGCAGCTTTCAGATCTCCTGCCTCAGAGCTTGTTTTGCTCTACCCAGTAAGCCTTATGGTCCATACTAAGGAAGGCTACTGGTTTAACTGGGCAGCCTTTGGGAGCAAGTTAGCACGTACGATGGCAGCTCCAGTTTCCGTGCAGGATGCAATATGCAGAAGAGCCAGCATCGCCTGCCACAAGGCTGGCTTTGGTCTTCCCAAAATTACTTCAGTCCCTAATGCTTTGGGATGCCAGTGAGCCTTAACCTCTCTAGGGATTGCTACCTCTGAAAACCCTAAGTCACCTCTGCTCTGTGCTGGGTTGCTCATCCTGTGCTGGTGCCACTGAGGCAGGTGTTATGGAAACCTGTCAAAGGAGCACATACCACCCTGCTCCCCTGTCCAGAGCCACGTGTGTCTTCACCCAGCATTTACAGCCCATGAAGATGCTCCAGTCTTGGTTGGAGTTTACATGGCACTCTTGAGCAGGGTGAAGACCTCCCTGTGACTGGACAGTCTGAAGAAGCAAGGTCGTTGCTTTGGAAGGAGGTGGGCTGCTCCTGAGCGATGAGGGCAACAGAGACTCGGGGGTAGGGTGTTCTGCTCAGGGCAGCCAGGATGCACCAGAAAGCATCGCTCCCTGTTCCTGCCTGGGTACCACAGTGGAGCAAGGACCATCAGCATGAAAAAGCCAGCCATGGGTTAGGTTTGCCCTCAATAAACCGAGAGCAGCCTTTCTTCACAACGTGCAAATTGGCACAAGTGACTCCTGTGGCTCTCAGTTCTGCTGCAGTAAAGTCTTTATTAGAAGAGGAGGCTCCTTCTGTTTGGCAATGAGGACCTTTAACAATGTGGCTTCAAGTGGACTTAGGTAAGGATTTTTGTGGTGACCTGCTATTAGGAATGTGCTGCTGCACTATGCCAATGAAAACTCAGAATCAGCTGGCAAATATTTGGTTTTGTTTGTGTCTGTTTGCTCAGAAGTGTAGAAAATCCTGTTATTACATTAATGTGAAAGACGTGATAGGAATGTTGAACCAAGTACAAATAATTAAAAAAAAACTAGAGAGAGAAGAAAAGCCAGAGTGGGAAGAGCTAGCATCGAAAGACATGGGCTTACTCTGCTTGCTCCGTAACACCTTCATTTTGCATGAAAACCAGGTTTTTCTATCCGTGAATATTTATCCTTTTCCACTGGCTTTGACACCATCTGTCTGAAGGCTTTTGTGGCTCTGGTGTTGCTGCGGCTTTGATGGAGAGCTTGGGCTGTAGGGCTGATCCTTTGCAGCAGAAATTCATCTGCTTCCCTCTTCTCTGATCAGCCCATCTTTAAAAAATCCAGTAAAAACCACAGGCTGTTTTTTTGCTACGCTGACCTCAATCCAATGCCCCAAAGGACAGGAAAGGCAATGAGCACTGCTAAATAAAATGAGTGATCCATCTAGAATCCAACAGTGTGTGCTGACTCGGCAAATTTGGGAGATTCCCAGGATTTAGTGTGGGAGGAGGCAGGGGACGTGCCCAGCGTTGTAATGCTCATTCTCTCTTTCAGGTAACAAAAGCCAGGTCCAGGCTGAACTCTGCTATGCAGAGAATAAGTTTGTGTGCCCTAACGCCACCCAGGACCCCCAGAAGGAGGCCAGCAGCATCTGGGCCATGATGGTCATCGCCCAGCTGCTGGCTGGAATCGGGACGGTTCCCATCCAGCCCTTTGGGATATCCTACGTAGATGACTTTGCGGAAGCAAACAATTCCCCGCTGTACGTTGGTAAGTAGGACTGTTGCTGTACATCGTTTTGTCTCCTCCAGACCCTAGGGGTGAGATGTAGAGGTGTTCACCTGGAGAGGAAGCTGACTCAGATGAGATCCTCCACCATTAAGAGGCTCGGCTATCTCTCCCCTTACAGTCAGCTGTTCTCTGTAGGGTTATATGTATGGTGTGGGTGTTAAGAAGCCAAAGAATCATGGCAAGGAGACGAGATGGATGAGCACGAGCATCTCCCTTGCATCTGTGAGAAGTTATGCCATAGATGGGGGGAAACCTTCTCAGAGGCCATCTCCTGCTCTTATTGAGCATCAGTTGATCATGATTTAACCAGAGGTTAACAATTAACACAGGTTTTGCATCAAGGATTCAAAATTGACATTTTTTGCTGTGGAATCAGTCCCTGCCCGGTGGGGGCCTCCAGGCTGAGGAAGACTGCAAAGACATAGGTGCTGGTTTCTGTGTTCAACTGCATTTTTTTTCCCCTCTGAATGGCAAAACCCGCCTGGAGGTGGCCTGCCTACGTGAGCTTTGGGCTCAGTCCATAAGTTATTTAAAAACCCAATTCCTCCTGGTGCCAAACAATGTCTTTAAAGCAGCCAAAGGTATCAGTCATATAGGAGCCGAAAGCGGATGTTTCGAAATAAGGCAAGCACTACAGGAGAAGGGAAAGCCTTTGGGATTCAACTCCCGAGGAAGAGTTTTGGCCAAGCGCTGAAGTGCTTGGCAGGGTCTCCAGATCCACCCAGACGTGCTTTGCTCCAGGCTCCTGCTGGAAAGGTTTGCTGCACCACCCAAGAGCAAATATAGTAGCCTGGGCTGGAAATAGGGGGGACAGAGCATCCTTGTCATCTCCCTGTGGTGAGAAGGTCACTGTTCCCAGGACCTCTGGGTGTCCTCTGGAGTCCTAAACCTGCAGGTCCTGAAGATGAAGGAGAATGGGACCAGCTTGTTCTTTATAATATAGGTAGTCACTTTAGGGCTGTGGGAATGTCTGTGTTGAGGGTTATGGCTAAGGTGAGTCTGCGTTGCCCCGGTATGATGTAAATACCATCGCCCTTTGAGTTTTGTTTAATTTCAGGTCCTTCCTATGAAAGGGAACACCACTGTCTTTCTATGAGATTAATACTCCTCTAAAGACCCTGCCCTTTGATACTTAGGTTTATGTTGTAGAAACAAAAGTATTACCTTGCCAAATAGTCAAAAAAAGAAGTGCTTTTAAAATAGGTGCCCACCTGAGGCATAGCAGTGGGATCAGGTGCTTTCATACCCAGCCCTCTCAAAGGCTCCAGATCAGCAAAATGCACAGAAACGGTCAATGCAGATCAAGCAAACTGTCGACTTTTGAACGGTTTAAGAAGGCTGTGCAAGGAGTTTCTGTCAGGAAGGAAACCTGAATCTGTTCATTCCAAAGAAGTCAAAAGGAAACATTTTGACCTTACGAGTTAGGTCCAAGTTATATGTTTCTTGAACGGGATGATTCAGCTAAACTGAGGATGATCTGCTGCCCTTTTTACTCTTAGCATCTTTGACCTCCCCTGAAGTCACACTAAATGTTTTTTCTTGGATCTAAGGACTCAGATGGTTTTGTTTCCTTGGCCTTCTGTAGGAGATGGAGGTCTCTTGTCACCTGCAGGAGCCCAGGATGTCACCATCCTGCTGGGGGTTCCTTACTTTGTTGCAGTGAGTCATGAGTATTGATGGTGTAGCTGACAACTTTTAGTGCATTGACAAAGCCCTGATTGCAGCACAGCAGGGGGACCTTTTCTGCAGGCAGCTGCCTGTCCTCCTCCTAGTCCTGTTGGATGAACACCATGTTCAGCATCTGAGCAATGGGGATCTTCTCACCATCTGCCACTTGATAATAGATGGTTCGTCTCCTCTGCATGTTGTAACATCACTCCTGCTTCATGTGGGAAGATGAAAGTGAAGCGTCTGCGGTGAAGGTACTGTTCCCTGCTCACATTGGCGCTCTCTGCTCCCTTTTTTCAGCCATCCTCTTTGCCATCGCTGTGTTCGGCCCTGCTTTTGGATACTTGCTGGGATCCGTGGTGCTGCGGCTCTTCGTGGATGTCGGAAGAGTTGACGTTGGTGAGTGTTTCTCAGGTGCTCGAGTCTGCCCATCCTCCTCCCCACCACCCTCCACCAGCACCTTCAGAGAGAGGGACCAAGCCACAGCCACCGCAGGGCTTATTGTCTTTATCTGCGGTGTGTGCTTATTATTCCTGGTAACTTAATCCCTAAAGAATTCCCCCCAGCTCCAATCATTAGCATGGCTTTTCCTGTGTTTCCTTAGAGATCAGAGCTCGCCTGACATTTTCGTCCTGTGCCTGATAAGAATAATAAATGAACCTGGGGCAGGAAACGGCAAAAAGCCTTGGCTCGCTCCCCACGGCGGCAGACGGATTTAGCAGCCTCTGCCTGGTCGCTCCATGATGACGTCTGTCCTGCAGAGTGGAGTGGTCCTGTTTGGGGAAGCGGGGCGATTGTTTTGGCAGGGCGTGGGCTCCTCTCCTGCCGCACCCTGGCATGGGGCTCCTGCCCAGAGGCTACTGATGATTCCTTTCCCAGCCACCACATCCCAGCACTGGGGAGATGCGGTCCACACGCCAAGCCAAGCAATCTGTCAACCTCCCGTGAGCATCACTTGGCCCAGCCAAAGGATGTCTGTGCTGGAGACAGAGCGGCTCGCACCTTCTCCTCCTTTTTCCGGAGAAGGCGCCCGGAGTTTCATCCACTCGGAAATCAGGCTCATTAGTGGCGCTCTTCTGCCAGCATGAGTCCTTCCCTTGGTCTCCACAAGCAGAGAGTGACCAAGTCTGGAACAATGGGACAGCAAATTTTTCCAGGAAAGCGGTTGTGCCCTTTCCCAGTCCCTGTTTCAGGACCATCCCTGGTCAGCAGCGTGGTCCAAACCCACAGCACACCCCAGGCGGAGGAGGATGGGGTCAGGTCCCCATAAGTGCCGCTGTGCTGGCTGGCTCAGCAGGTAACAGCTGAACCTGTGCCATCAGCATGCTCCAGCACTGACTAAATTCATCCTGGCAACATTTGGGAAGCTTGGCAGAGTTTGGATGGGGAGTGGCAGTGCAGAGGAAAGGAGGTCAAACATGACCAGGGCTGGTCTGATGGGAGCTCCCACCTCCCTACATTTCTGCTTCCACACCAGTGGAGTGACCCTTGGATTGTGCCCCCACGGACCTTTGGTGCTCCACCAGTCCACATTTGCATGGACATTTGCCACTTTCACCCTTGGCCGTGCAGGAGCAGAGCTCTTATGATGGGTCCTTGTGTATTGCAGCTACGGTGGCCCTGACACCGAAGGACCAACGGTGGATTGGAGCCTGGTGGCTGGGACTGCTGATCTCCTCGGGCTGCTTGGTGCTCACATCCATTCCTTATTTCTTTTTCCCTCGGTACATGCTGAAAGGAGAGGTGAGACCTCATTTCTGGAGAACCAGAACATCTCTATGCCAAGGGGAACAACCTTTTCTCAGGAGAGAGAGGTTGGAGGTAGGAAGGGAGCCCAGATGAAGTTAGAATTTCTCACAAGTGGAAAGTCTTCCAAAACAAGCTCTGCACCACAAACAAGTGAAGGACCAGACCCTTCGCTTCCTCACCGCTAGCTGGAAAGCCAGAACCAGTCTTTTTCCAGTCTTCAAAAAGGGCAAGAAGGAGG